GCCCTTACCCTCACCTGAAAAATTGAGAATTTGTTTAGTAAATACAGTGCTATTGTCTAGAAAAGAAATTTAAACTTTTTCTCATGTCTCCACAATAAAAGACCTTCCATATTAGAAGACCCTCTGATGAAAAAGTTTGAAAGGCGTATTACAAAACCCTTCTTAATTTGTTAATATACTCCAAAAATTGAAACTTTAATGAGTGTATTTCCATCAAAATACGTCTATTTTTCGGGGTTCTGTAAAGAAACTCTTAAAAGACTTGGATCAACATTATTTCTGAACTGTTAAAACCCGAAAAATCTCTCCTCAAATCCTCAAAATAGAAAAGGTTTTTTGAAAACCTTTTTAATTAAAAATTATGAAAATAAGTGGGACATAATAGAAGATCTCTTGAAAACTTCTTACGCATAGAAATAATAAAATATCCGGAGTCTTTTACGGCGGAAGGAGTTAAGTCAGATTTGTGTGTGGTGTGGGAGTATTGTTGTTACAATTTAGAAAACAAAAGAAAATAAAGATGAGAAGCTCTCCCTAAAGATAACGCCTAACACACACGTAGACGAAAATTCTGCTTTCTCTTTGGTCTAATTCTTCAACGGTTGATATAGCAGAGAGCTGACAGACTACTAAAAGTTTTGTAATACATCCATGTTCTTTACCTGTTACGATCGTTGAAATGTTTTTTGGTGATGTCTGGCGTGAGACGAATTTACAAAATGCTATAGATTGTGACTCTTTATATAGGTATGGACCGACTGAGTATCGAGAAAAAACCATCGCATATTGTTTTTTATTTGAATTAGGAAAGGTGCGATAAAAAGAAATGTTTTTATCGCATTTTCTTTTTTGCGAAGTAGTAAGATAACACATATGAGTTGGTTGTTTACCCATCATCACCAAATCGGTTTATAACAAAAAAAGAATCAACGAAAGAGGCAACCCATGTGGTACTTTTTTATTGATGCACACAAGCGTGACTTAATTGCGCCGCGAAGGATCAATGTCTAAGAAACTTACTCTTTCGCATGCGTCAAATTAGTTACTTATCATAGGATTAAACCTGACACTATCTTTTGCCTTTGATTAAGACAATCATCTCGTATTATTTCACAAGGAATAAAAAAATATAAGACGTACTATCCTTAAGCCTCTAAAACGAGACTGATGATGTAAGCCACGTACTACAGACAAAAACAAGAAAATATACAAATTCTGTCGTGAACATATGTCGTGCATCATATGAAAATTGAGATAAAGTTGAATCTTTATTGGCGAAGTTTTTACTATGCATAGAGCTCTGAAAACTGATCACAGACACTATCTCAATATCAATTGATCTATATCAGACTTAGAACCGGTTGAGTTTTTTCAATCGGACCGGTAATCGGATAGTTCAATTATAGAATTAAATCGATGAAAAAGCAGTCGGCTTAATATATCAATTAGCAAATTAGTTATTTTGAAAAAAAGTTTATTAGTACACCTCAACGAAGAGATAAAATGTGGAATTCATATGAGTCTTGGGATTTCTAATAGTAACAGTTTCTATTTTAGTCTGTCGCGTTCCACTAAGAATGAAAGAAACACTGTTTCAAAAATTTTTAGGTAGTAACTCACAATAAGCAGTATAAAACCATATCTGTGCCTTGTTTTGGTTGGCTTTCTTCAATAAAGACATGATTTTTTTTTACAAGAATTAATATAAGTTTTATGTTTTCTTATTTGAAAACATTACTTTACACAATTGAAAAACTTCTCAATTCATATAAGGCTACTACTACCGATAGGAAGACAGAATGAGCTACAAAGCTCGATTTTTGAACTGGACTTAACACTTTTAAGTTTTTCAAGAGCTAAATGCTTTCACAGTTACATGAGACTAGAAGTGAGGAAAACGTTTACAAATAAAATGAAATTTATTTCTGATATTTATGTAATGAAAGCATGATTTGAGAACTATTATTGGCTATTGAGAGTTTCTCACAGCCGACTAAAAGCAATCCAGAGAAGTGAGCTCGTCATTTTGAGATGGAAAATTTCTAGTTTAGACTCAGTTTAAGTTCTAAACCATGGATTAACTTTTCTTGATCATCATCAATACATTTAACATGACGCAACATCTCTCGTTGTATGATGAAAAAGGGTGAGCTCAAAATTTACAACGGGAATTTCAGAGACAACTAGAAACTGGTCAACTCGACGTTTCAATTCATTTTTCTGAGCTACTGAAACGATAACCAATAGAAACGAGCAAAATTAGACTATATCCAGTACCGTAAAAAGTGATAAAAGACTAGTGAAAACAGGTAAAAGCTCTCTATTTTTAAAACTTCAACCAAATCGGACTGGTAACCAGCAAATCGACGGATTCGGTTTCAAGTCTTATCTGTGCATTGTTCTTCGTGATATAAGAGTCCTTTCTTTCTTATGTAGTATTTCAACTGCACACATTATCATCCCGGAGCGATAGAAGTTATTATTCATCATCATCAACAGATAAGACATTCTTTTTGTCTCGGATAGAGCTGTCCAAAGACGACGACAAAAAAAGTGTTTGCAGTATTCAAATTTGGTGGCACACACAGAGACAAATGCAAAGTTCTCTTATAAAGCCAAAACAAGACGTGTAGGACAATATTTGCTATCATCTCGTCACTTTTCTTCGTATCATATCCGTCTGTGATCATAGAAAGGCCTTTGCTCACAAATAAATTTTGATCATCTCGTGCAGCCAATACAACAGAACAGGGTGAAATTATCCGTTCAGTGACACAATAACCCAAATGTATCCCTAGTCCGAATCCTGTCCACTCTTTGAGAAATCGTGGAAGGATCTTTCAGGATCCTGTTCCGAATCCTAATAATTCCTGTTTCCAGCATTTTTCAAGGTGAAACAAGGGTGTGGGTGTTTTTATGACTATCTAAAGCCACACCCAAAACTTATGAGATATCCTTTATTGTCGTAAATTTAACTGTAATTTTCGACATTGTCAATATTTTGAAGAGTAGACTCTTTTTTTTTATTAGAAGGATTTCAAATGTTAAATAGAATTAAAATGGAAATCTTCATATTTACCATCATATGTGAGTTATTTCTGAATTTTTTCAGTAGAGAACTCATTAATTCCTGGATTTACTTAATTAGAAATTTGCTTGTCATTGCGAAGGAATTTTTCCTTTATTTTACTAGCTTTACCGTTGGCCTTGTGACGGGTTACGGTAACATCTGGGACTTTTTTGAAATGTCTGCGTCTTGTTGTAGATATAAAATCAATGAAACGAACGAATTTCAAAATGAATTTAAATTCTAATTTTTTTATTTTAACAGTAGCTGAAGAGAATGTAATGCACAATATCAGAAAGAAAGACTATCGAAATGACAGAAAAACCTTATGTTGGAAAATACTGGCATTGTGTAATTACATTTTTTTTACCACTATTATATAGTGACGAATAACATAACTGCACATTGTCTTCCACCTATAGTGATATAGATGGAAAAGAACAGAATGAAAGTAAAATTACCTCATCGTATAGTAAAATACATTCGATGGCATGTTTTAAACAGTCGATATGTATGCTATATGAAGAACGAAAAACATTCAGATGGTTATGGTATTCGTCACTATATAATAGTGGTAAAAAAAATGTAATTATACAATGTCAGTATTTTCCAACGTAAATTCTGTCATTTCGATAGTCTTTCTTTCTGATATTGTGTATTATATTCTCTTCAGCTGCTGTTAAAATCAAAATATTAGAATTTAAATTCATTGTTGTGGATATATTAATATGCTTTGCCGAAAGTTTTCAAAAATGAGAAAATTTACTCTTTTGGAAATCTGAACACACCTTTTCTTCAGATGATGAAAAGGAATAATTATGCTGCACCTTTTCAAAACTTGAAGGAAAAAACGAAATGTGTGTTTTTTTCCATCGAATGAATCACTTGTGGACACCATATAAAAACTGCTGCATGTTGAGTTTTTTTCATTTCTTTTCGTGCGCAATAATGATTTCATTAGATGCGTCATTGTAACAACGTACATCGCACATTGCACAAAAAAACGGTTAGATAAGCAATTACACAATTATAAATTTCTTTTACTTGCTTTAGGTCGTTTTTCTACAACTTTAAAGATAATCATAAGCTGTTTTAGATTGCGTTGCGATTAGAGTCCTTAGGGATAAGCTTCTTGCGAGTTTTGAAACTCATCTATCACATCCCGAGAATTATTCAATGGTCCGAATCTCATTTTTTCCAATCCAAGAACTTTCGAGTAGTCTTGAGTTCCATTTGTCTCGGCCATCCAAAGAAACATAACGATATTCTTCAGTTAGGGTCCTGTGAGATAAACGTTTTTCGATTCTCGAATCCATTTATTCTGTCCGATTTTATTTTTTCAAATGTTCCGATCACGAATATCCCACAAGCTGACACGAACGACGTTTTCTGACATTTGCGAAGCTGTCGTAGAACCCTTTTTTATTATTATTGAAAGTCTGTAGTAGTTTAGATATATATTAACCCTAATTAGCTGTTTGTCACACTTAATAATTTTAAGGTTTTATATAAATTCCATAATTCGCACTGATTCCAACTTCAAATCAATATTGTAAACGCCGCTTCTCAATATATCTATGTAATAGCTTTAATTCTTGGAAGACTTCCAATTGAATACATGTCCATAAAGTCACATAATTACATGTTCAATAGATCATTCTATGTGTTCGTAGAAATATCTGAGTTCTCTTTAAAACTGTCAACTTTAGAATGATTTTTCTCTTCGTCTGAAAGACTTCTCTAACTTATTAACGAGTATTTCAAAACTATACGTGAATTTTTTTCGAAATTTCTTCGTCTACAGAGAAAAGCTCAATGCAGGTAGATATGAAGGTATTCGCAAAGAAGAGATTCATATCTGTGTACCCTGACACCTATAAATTTGTTTATTTCGTCAAAATCTCTTTAGTTTCAGATACATACTCGTCTACAAATGGATAATTCAACAGCACCATCAACAGCTGTCTTAACAACAAACTTAACTTCATTTGTTTATGAAGATTTAATCTTTCATGTTCAAACAATTCAACAGCAAATGATTGAAATTGCAAAATATCTTGATGACCAATGGAAAAATGATAAAAAGATACGGGAGGAATTAAAATCACGTTCAATAACATTTGTTGATCCATATGGAAACCCAATAACTAATAAATATATGAATCATGAATTAATCAGCACATTGTTTAAACAATACAAAAAGGATTATGTACCAAAATATTTACAAAATTGGGTGAAAATTGGAACAATTAGTGAAAATGTTATCTCACCATTGGATGATTCGGAACTGCAATCAACTGTATCCAAATATCCCGATGGTTATCGATTTATTACATATAGTGAATTGAATATCTTGATCGAATATCGTGAAGATGTACTACGTCAACAATTTGTACTACCTGTTCTCCTAACGGATACTATAGAGAAGATTAAGATGCGAATACTAAAACTTCGAAAATTTCCAAACATCGCACTAAAATCATTTATATCAGATAAAGATTCTCAAATGAATAACCAAAATTGGAGTGAAGGTCGAACATTCAATTCAGATGATACTGTTTTATCATGTCAGTTATATCAAAATAATTCTATCATGGTAGCAAAAATTTTGCTAGAAAATGTAAACTATAATTTTTTTCATTTTCACATCATATGACTTTTTTTTTTCATAGACTAATGATATAGCATCCACTGCTAATTATGAAATCTTTGTGAAAACTCTTACTGGAAAGACGATTACTATAAAAGTCAATTCTCACATGGATATAGATACAGTGAAACAATTGATACAAAATGTAGAAGGAATTCCTCCTGATCAGCAACGTTTGATATTTGCCGGAAAACAACTAGAAGATGACGCAACTCTTTCATACTATAACGTACAAAAGGAAAGTACGATTCATTTAGTCTTACGTTTACGTGGTGGAATGTATCATATTACAAGTGGCCGACAAGATTTTGAGAGTTTGCCAAATACAGGAGCTGAAGCAATTAAAAATATTCTAGTATTCAAGTTTAAAAATATAGATAACTCTGAAGGGTTATCACTTGTTGAACTTCAAAATTCTATTTTACAAGGGCAAGCTGTTCTTTCAAAATTATTCAATGAAATCAAAAATTTCTCTGTATCTGATGATGTTCCACATTTAAAAAACATTATATTATCGAATGTGACTGATAATGAAGATGAAAATGACATGGAAGCAGATAATGATAATGATAGTGTTTCAAATGATTAATAACAATCAACTCTTCAAAAACAACTACGAGTATTTTGATTATTAGAACATAACATACTCAAACATTTACTTATTCAAGAACAAAATAAATGCGGAAACTTCGGATTTAAATCCGAGAGTTATGTGTACTTCAAAAAGTGAATGAGACAGATGAGTCGTTCTAGAATATGGGGATATAAAAATTATTCTGGCAAACCTTATCTATAAACACTTGATTTCTATTGGCTACTGCTCAACCAATAGGATTTGGGGGTGAATACAGCTCAGATTTGAACTCTTCACCTTGATTTACCCTAAGAAAGTCGTTTTTCCTATAACTTGATTTCTATTGGTTACTGTTCAACCAATGGAATTTCGAGGCGAATAGAGCATAGATTCGAGTTCTCCACCCCAGAAAACCTCGAACTATCATCTCTGTGATCGAAAGAACGAGCTCTATTTGTGGATCAATTAGAGCGTGACAAAAACAGAACCGAATTCCGATTAATTATCTTTGCAATAGCTGAGTTGGCTTTCTTGTTTCCTTATGTTTTATATACCACTTTGTAGCTCGTGAAATTCTCTATCGAATGGTATATAATAGTTGGAGTTTTAGTTGACTATGATAGGAAAAGTCTTTTACGAAAGTGGGGATGGGTCGATGTTTTCATAGGGAAGGTGCAAGGAAAAATGAGTATTTTTGCAATAACTCAGGAACAGCTCGGCCAATCCTTCTCATCTTCGAACTCGACCGAGATATTGTTAAGACTGAACTGTGTAGAAAATTTCATCGCGATCGGACTCTCCTTTCGAAAGTTATCGTGTTAACGGCCGGCCGGCCGGCCGGACGGACGGACATACTGACCGATTCTAGAGTGTACTCACTTTTTGAGTACACAAAAAATGAGACTTAGTCAATAAACTCAACAGTTATTATCAAGTATTGAAGATCAAAAAGATATCGATTGGAGGATGGGGTGCGGGTGTGAGTGTGTGGCAAAGTTGGAACTCGACAGTTTTTTCTGTCCGATCCGTTCCGGTCAGCAACCGACCGGGTGAATTTTACAGCCAAACTGGCAAAAATCTGGTGAAAATCGCCGACCTTGAAAGTATCTGTTCACATAAAATGGTGGTGAAAAGGAATTGAATATTTAAGTGTAGAAATTCGAACTAGGGGTGATCACTTTACATGTACGAAAGTTTGATAAATCCAAAAATCAATTTTGTAAATTTAAATTTATTTAAATTCATTTAATTGGATTTCAATCCATTCACATTAATTCATATGGGATTTAAATCTAATTAAATGAATTTAAATTGAATTTATATTGATTGAAACGGAATTTAAAATTTATGTGAATCTAATTTAAATTTAACTTTTTAAAATTTGCATTTCAAATAAATTTAAATTTTCACAACTGAAAAATTTAAACTTAAAATAAATTAACAGGAAATCGTCACCCCTAATTCGAACTGAAAACTAAAGCTGGGGAATGAAATTTCCGCCATCACATCTTACAGCAAGGTGCGTCAATCTTTCGAGTCCGATGTCGATATAAATTAGCTATTTAGATGAAATTTATTTTTTCATCTTAATTTCAAAAACAGATAGAAAGCAAGTTTATAACAAATCTAAAACAAAATTGTAAATATTTATTTTTCTTGATGCAGGTAGCTGCCTAATTAGAACATGAAAATAAGTTATTTAGATCTAGATTAAATTGAGTGATACGCGGGAAAGAAATCAATAGAGCTATAAAGAGAACAAGCAATCGTTTATAATCAAGTTTAAGACAAGCTATCTATTGAGTCTTTCGCAAACGCATTCTTTTAACATGAAAATTTTATAAAAACACCGTTTACAATAGAGAAAATTCTTGGATGCAAGCAACAATTTTGTAATGATGAATCGGCAAAAATCCGATTCTGCCGGTCGGACTGGGATCGGATTGCAGGACTGGCTCCAACTCTGGTGTGTGAGTGTGGATGTGGATGGGTGTGATTGTGTGGATGAAGATATGATCCACACCTACCCCTGTTTTCTCTTTGCTTGTTTATATGTTGACAAAAGAATGTAATACGCAATATTCTCATTGTAATCAGCATTATCTAAAAACTTTAAAGCAAAATTTGTAGCGTTTTTTGCTTAGCTAGTATAGGTAAATCACAGTATGATAAGTTCGTCAATTTAAGTATAAAGAAGTTAATATTTCACATTCCACTCTCGATTCGCATCCGACTTAGGTCCCCGTTAGTTACAGGCCTTCCAGGTAGGCCCTAAAAACCCGGCCAGGAATCGTCTTGGTGTCCGTGGCACACGGCCAGGTTTATTCAGACTCATTGACATATCTCTCGCGGCGAGGGTATGAATGATATGAGTCTGTCCTGTGCGTGCATGAGCGTTACGCTCGCCACGGCTCCACCAGGATGGTTCCTGGTCGCGCGCGCGCGAATAGAATAGACATTTATTTCATCAATTCAATGCGATTTATTTGAAACGGAAGGAACGCAAAAATAATAATAACCCATCGTTTTGAGTCTATTCAATTGAAAAGCGTTGAACACGATGATTTTCATTATCGACGACATAGAGATTGCCATGTCGATCGAAAGACAAACCGATTGGATTGTGGAACTGATTTGCTCCTTCTCCTTCACCATTTCCACTCACAATGACAGTGCCCTGTTTCGCTCCTTTAGGCCAACGCATCACTCGATCATTATTGCAATCTGCCACATAGATGGTACCCAATGTATCGAGAAACAGTCCGTTAGGATGACACAACTGTGTCAGAGCATTCCCACAGCCTTGACCTCCAGCAACGACAATTCCTTCTTTTGCACCTTTATTCCATTTCATTACACGATGATTGTTGTTGTCTGACACGTAGACAGTCTGTTGTTGATCGACAAAGATGTAGGTCGGCTTGTTGAACTGACCGAGACCAGCACCTTCGCCATTGCCACCAGCTATAAGAGTTCCATTTTTGTCTCCAATTTGATATCGTCTTACTTCATGTTTGTCGTGGTCAGAGACGTAGAGATATCTCTGATCATTCATGGCCAATCCTACACAAGTGACGTTGTCGATGAGGATTTCTCCTTGAGTTGTACCACTACGACGAGACCATCGTACGACTCGTTGATTACCTGGATCGCAAATAATGAGACTATCCGTCTCTTTGTCGATCAATACATCGGTTGGTTCATTCAATTGATCCAATCGATTTCCTTGGCCATTACCACCAGCTACTATTTGTCCATTCGTATCACCCATCTTCCATTGGATGATACGATGATTGTCGCAGTCAGCAATGACTATCGTTTGATCATCATCAACGAAGAAACCCCAAGGCTGATAGAGTTGATTGGTAGCATTGCCGTGTCCATGGCCTCCAGCAACAGTCACTCCCTTCTGGGCCCATCGGGCATCAACTGGAATATTGAGAATTACTGCAATGAACAAAAAACAAAAGAAATCGTCCTTGTCGAAAGGATTCCGTCTCTCGTGAGAGCAAGCGCTACAAAATATGACATTCGTCTTTGAAAATGCTCGTTTCGCAGATAAAAATTCAGAAGTCTTTTCCTAGTTTCTTATGAGAAAAAAAGGATTTGGTAACGATTCTTACATCTATGTTACTTCTAGTTCTTGCCAAGATCTTTGTGATCATAAAAATAACACCTGGAGATTGCTGTAAGGAGGTTCTCCAAGAAAGAGTAATACTAATTCCATGTAAGTTTTTGATAGAAAAACATAAGGATCTGAGGATTTTTTTCAGAATTGCAAGAATTCAGAATCTTTTTGGCAGAATGATCATTTATATGAATATCAGAGAAGATTCTATGTGCATCTTGTGAGAAGAATATCGAATCGTTGAACAACAAAGTATCAAACCTAATCCCTATGTTTTTTAGGAAACCTTAAGGATACATGATTTTCTGTATGATGAATGCAGATCTGCCGAAGAATCTCCTAAGTATTTGCATAGAGAATGCCGGTGAAATTTTATAAGGCTTTTGGTAAGTTATGTGAAGCTGTTCGAAGAATAACCGTGATGTACTCTGAGTAAGATCATGAGAAGGCTTGGATGCAGGCGAAACTGAACAAAGTTGAGAGAATTTCACGCGAATCTATATAATCTGAGAGGGCTTCTACTTTTGCAAATGCTGAAAAAATGGATGTCAATCCGAACGGAGCTCTCCAGTGACAAACATTGGGACCTATGGATTTTATGGGATTTGAAAAGGGCGATGATAATGGGATAGGCAGAAAGTGTTCTAAAATGCTATTTTTAACTTTTGATGAACACCATCTTCAAACCATTGTATTAGGGTCCTCGAAGAGAATCTTGATGACTAAATAAGATACTCTGTCAAAATCTGAAAATCTAAAAATAATGAGTATCTTCTATGAGGATCATGCTATAATCCTTATGTAGTACTTGTTCTGAGAAGTCTTCTGTAAGCGCGCATGTTATGGATATGTTCTGGAGGATCTGAAGAGTAAGTATTTTGAAATGGTTGATATCAAAGATGGGCAATTTCAACTCCAAAGTTGATGCTTTTTCTCATCAGAGTGAAAATGGAGTAAGAACAGAACAGAATGGAGGTGCCTATCTTTGAATTTTATGAGAAAGTTTATAAAGCAATAAATTAATATGCTACTAATTTATATCAATCGTAGATTTAATTATGTTCAAAAACTTATGTGTATTTAAGAGTGTTTTGGCAGAAGTTCAGATTTGTAAAACCCGACTCGAATTGAAGTTAAATTGGAGTTGGAGTAGGATTTTAGTAAATAGGACTGGAGTTATGTGGAGTTGGAGAGAGATAGAGTGTAGTTGGTCATCTTTGCTTAGTACACAAATATCGATCCTAATCAGTACCCAGGACGCCTTCTCTGGAATATTAGGAATTACTACAATGAACGAAACAGAAAAGAGATCGTCATTATCGAAGAGATTTTTGTCTCTCATACACGAGAAAGTACTATAAATGAGACAGTGTTTCTGTAACGTAGTCTTTAAAAAAAAAGCACATCGTAAGGAAATGCTTTCGATGTCGAGGAAGAGAAAACTGCTTAACATGAAATTCTAAGGAGATTTCTATATTGTAATTTAGTATTAGAATTTGAAAAGGAAACCTTACGATTCTTCAGCAATATTCAGCTCATTTTCGTATGATATAGGATGTTCGAAAGAAGAAAAAAAAATGATGAAATGAAACATCAAGATGCTTAAAGTCGTGTGCATTTTAAGTTTTTCATGATAGAGGTTGAAAAACGATCTCTATAAAACATTAATTAAGATTTGTGTATAAGCTGCTCTTTTAATTGTATAACTTTTTTTTATTATAAAAGTCAATCCTTTTTCAATTAAGCATAAACTATCATTCATCAGACATGTTTGATATTTGTGATACAATATCATCTTAATACATTAAGTAGTTTCATTAGACTAAAAAGACTTTCATTAAATTGATGAAAACTCGTTATAGTTTTATCAAAAAGAAATTTTTTGATTTTTCCAAATTCTAAATTGTTTTTAGATCTGTTTTCTTAGTAACGAAAAGAAATTATTATCATACTTAAACATATTTGTTAAAGCAATAATGAAAATAAGAACAATAATATCGAATTGATATAATATAACTTATAAATTCTTTCGTAGAATTTCTTAACCTCCATGATATAAATATATTTAGTTTGTTTTTCGATGATTTTCTGAATGACATTCGAATCTACTATTATCATAATAATATAATAGTAAATAATTTCTAATATCGAAAAAAAAATCATTTTTTCTCGCTAGAAATTCTAGAATTTATGGAAATACTCTAAGAGCAGATATTTATTTAGTCAAGTTTATTAATTTGAAACAAAAAGAAATCTCAAAAATGACCTCAAGTAAAAAAAAAAGATGTTCTCAGATTTTTTAAAATGTTTATAAGATATGCAATCTACTCAGTATAGGCAGAATTCGTCCAATGAAATTTAAGATTATACAGAGTGCTTTTGTCTCTAATAACTAGTCAAATACTTAACATACTTCTTGGTATAGTGAGCTGATATTTTTATCCATGATTATCAAAACTTACTCTAATGTATTTACAGCTGACTTTAAGAAAAAAATCTAAACTTCCAAGAGCGGGTGTGGATGTGGGTATGGATGTGGGTATACTATTTGATCTACACCCTCACTCACACACCTACACCTACACATACCGACACCCACGCCCACGCCCACCCACGCCCAGACCCACACTCACACCCACACCCACATCCGTCCTTCCCTCGAATTGTCGAAAATCTTTCAAAAAGCTCTTGCAGTATTATTCTATAATACTTCATCTTGTGTCCTCCACTGGTTGTTAAAGAATTTCCATGGATTGAATATTCCATGACAGTTCAGTTTCTGATTTTCCATTCTGTAGAGCTAATTCATAGAAACAACCCTATCAATGTCGGTGATTTATCTGAGAAAGCTCTTAAAAGCTGTAATAAAGACATCCGTAATTTCAGAGAATTTTTCTCTCGAAAATGTGGGCGCATTTAAACTGTTATAGATGCTTTCAATCGATTGTTTCTAAGGAGCGATCTTGTTATAAATTTTACTGTACAACATTCTTACACAAAAAGAAAAAGAAAAAGAAAAGACACAACAGTCTTAACTTGTAACAATGACTATGATAGTCCCTTCTACGCTATATTTGTAGATCAATAATTATTCTGAATTTTCATTTATTTTAGTTTCTAGCATCAATTTTAGTTTTTTCAGCATATATATAATAAAATCACGAAAGATGACTTGGAAGTACTGCTCTAGAATTTCTAAAAGTCACTTACTGACTTCGAGACCTACTTAAAACAAAAGAGAACTAAGGAGTGGTGAGCACGAAACTGTGTGTCGACATGCTTTCTCTAATAAGCGCTCTTCTTAACATCTGCCAAAACGTAGAAAACTATTGAATTTAGGTATTCTATATGAACTGGTTTTCAAAGAACTGGATTTCTAGAAAATGTTCTGAGAAGTTCCGAAAACCATTTTTGTTGGTAGACTCGAAATCAGCGCGTTGAAAAACCTATAAGAAATGATTTTCAACTGAGAACTAAGTATTTGTAAGTAGAGGTGTAAGCCGATAGGCTGATCGGCGGCGGCGCCAGTTTTTTAAATTTTTTTAAAAATGCTCGGCGGCGCAGATATGATATTCTAAGGTTGCACAGCGGCGGCGGCTCGAAAATTTTAAAATTTCGAATACCATCGGCGGCGCGGCGGCTGTAATTAAAGTGTCTCAGCGGCGGCGGCTTGAAGTTTAAAAAGTACTACATTATCATAAAAATATTAGTCTATGGCCTTGTCTACACTAGGAATATAATGTAGTATCAAATTCGTGTTACATCAATTCGTGTCTACATTTGACAGTTAATGCATCAATCAGAATCCTAGACGTCGAAATGAATCGTGGTTTTTGTTCACTTCAATCATAGAGGACTCGTCCATTGAAAACTGTGTCAGTCTCATTAGAAAATCGAATCAGACATTGATTGGTGCATCAAATTTAATGTTGTTCTGAAATGTGCAATAAATTTAATGCACTTTTTAAAAGTGTTTTAAATATTTACTAACTGTTCAACCAATCATGTTTCTTAATTCAGCGTCAAAATTTTTAGTGTAGACAAGGCCTATTTCAATATCTTGGCCTTTTTATTTTCAAACACATATGTGGAAAAACTTTATTTCACATCTAGACATAATAAAAAAGTCTATAATTAAAAATAAATATAATTGCCAGGATAAATAATAAATGAGAAATCACCACCACGATTGTTAATAAGTAAAAGCACTTAGCATATTCAAGTTTGTTGTTTTTATTTTGTTTTTGATAATTAAAATTTAAAATGCTCGTCTCTTCTTGTATTTCTAAATATATCTAATATAAGAGACATAAACTAAAATGATAACTTAGAATTTTCAACCAACACAGAATTAAGGGTTCATTCACAATTTAGAACCCCTAGCATCTGATTGGTCAGAGAACCAGCATGAAAGTGAAGGTGAAGGCGAGAAAGTTAATGAAAAAGAGATATATTGGGGTTCTAAGATGTAAAAGTATCGAATTAAGGAAAATATAAATGAAATGTTATCGATATTTACAATAGTTGCCGGCGGCGGCGGCTCGATAATTTTAAAATTTCGAATACTATCGGCGGCGCGGCGGCTGTAATTAAAGTGCCTCAGCGACGACGGCTTAAAAATTTCTAAAATTTCTACTGTCACG